CAAAATACATTCATGCAACCATCAAAAGCAGTGAAAAACAAATACAGTATATATTGCTAATAATCATAATTGATGACAAATCAAATTGTCAAATGATACCATTCATGTTCGATCTCTCATGTAGACATGACTTATATAAAGTACATTGGCAACAGATAATTTTTTTAAAGATAATTTTAGACCGTTGTAAGTTTTACGTAAAATATGTGGGATTTTGTCCAACAAAAAATTTTATAATTTGGGTCCACTTATGTGTAGCAAGTGCTAACTACAAGTCAGTCTTGCAAATGGAACATGCATTTTATTTTTGTTTCTGGGATTGTGGGAAATATTATTATACTTATAGAAAATACTACACGTTCATGTGGCAAACACGTAATTTGCCACATTTGGCGTTTGACATGAATTGTATGACATTAAGTTTGTAAATGTCACGAATATTGAGTATTTTTAATTTGTTAAATAATGGTTCAGATGCCGGTCTAGGGTTTGAGAATGTTATAACTCTAGCAGCTTTTTTCAGAAGTTTCCTTTATACTTTTGTAGGTGTTCCCCCAGATAATATTCCCATATTGGAGATGTGGTAAAATCAAAGAATTAAAATACAGCACGATGATGTTATATTAATACAAGTGCTTCTTTAAGTTAGGCTATGTTTCATTTCTAATTGAAGAAACTTGCGATATTGACTGCTTGAACGGCGGAGTCTGTGCCTCGGATCACGGAATTGAGGACTGTCAGTGTATGTCTGGTTTTGTTGGACCAACATGCAATACGTGTAAGTTTTTACAGTTATAAATGTGTATTACCTATTGAGCTAAATAATATGGTAAGCCTAGTGTGCCGAATATGGTTAAAAATGTATAGAACATGGTCACTTTTCAAAAAGACTGTACAGTATGTATTGTGTTAGATTCAGTTAAATGTTAAAGTGTGTTTCATCCGCTATAACATGAATCTATAATTTTATAATTTAAAATTATAATTCTATAATTTTGTTGAAGTGCACCAGCAGTAATTATCACAAAATACTGAGAAAAACGTATAGCCATACTAGTTTAGGTGTCGAAAATTTCAAAAAGCAAAAAAAAAAACATGAAGTTGAAGAATAATGTAAGATATTATTTAAAATATCAAATCAAAGATTTTGTAGTGTTATTTTAACATAGAACTATTTTTGAAGGCCGGTTCGACTCCATACGAGTGACATTTGTAAAGTACATGGAATTTTTTAAATCAACTGAAATGTTCATACTTAATTCATTAGATATAAGCTGAGACAACTTGTCTCAGATATAAGATAGGAATAAGATAAAACTCACTGCCAAAAAATGCTAGTAGGCCTAGAGGAAAATGTAGAATATTTCCAACTATTAAAGTTACAATTATTATTTGCGTTATTCCAACCAATGTGACTACTGCAGTTACTTTTATTTTTTCTTCTATAATTTTTAGCGCAAACCCAATGTGATTTCGAAGATCCATACATTTGTTACTTTGTACAAGATGAAACGGATGATTTTGATTGGATAAGAACGTCTGGATCAACACCCACATCTGGTACTGGTCCTGAGTATGACCACACTTACGGAACATTACAAGGTATTAAAAAGCTGACATGAATTTATATTTTATAAATTAAATTGTACATTTCTAATGAAAATATTTAAAACTACAAACAAAATATATAAAATACACATCAAATAGATCTAAAAAAATCTCTATTACACCGGAACATTTATTTTCTCATTTGCTTACAGGTTCCTACATGTACATCGAAACTTCATATCCGCGATACAACAATGAAACCGCTCGTCTTTGGACATTGCCATATCCTGCAACAAACGGCACATGCGTTAAGTGGTTCTACCACATGTACGGGGCCACAGTGAACAAATTGAATGTATACATAGTCGATACAACAGGTACTGTTGGTGTACCTGCGTGGACAAATAGAAACAACCAAGAAAACCTTTGGCGACTTGGAAAAATCCCAGTTGAAACAATGAGTGCCTTCCAGATAGTGTTTGAAGGAATTGTAGGAAGGAGTGATACAGGTGATATTGCTTTAGATGACGTCACGATCATTGATGGAGCATGTTTGAAAAACGGTAAAATACACCTTTTACCACCTATGACATATTAGAAAGCCCTCCTAGAAAAATATATTATCAAGGTTCGATCCTGGCCTGGCAAAGATGATTAACATCTGTTCAGCGTATTGTTCACATTCTTTGATAGCTTCCAAGTTAAATGGTGAGTGAATTTGGTCGCACTTTTCGGGTTGTCAAATGTACAGTCAGGTTTATTGTATTGATTTTGGAACGTTTTGTCCGGGACCTGCATGCATATAAAGTCGGCGTGCCTTTGACCAATGATGTTCCGACCTTCATATTTCTTTTTATTTTAGATACACTTCCGTTTTCAAAGCGTCGCATTCTATTTACTGCTAAACTCTAGTTTTCTATAATACAATTATTTAAAAACGTCGTTTCAAGTTCATTGCAAAATTCAAAATCATCTGGATAGGTTGCATTACATTCCCGTAAAGGTGTGTATTAACGGACGTATTTCGGCAATAATGACATTTCGATCTGTTAGCTGGCCTTAGACTCGAATAAATTCTTTGTTCTTATGCAAATGTTTATTTTCTTTTACAGCGACCAAACATAGCTTAACCATAAACTCGTAACCGTAGAGCACAGGCTTAGGGAGGCTAATAAATTCAGTTGCAAAATCAAACATCATTTTTTTTAAATACATCTCACAGACATTGCGGTAAATCAAAATGAGAACAGCATAACATTGTC